GTTTTAGGGCTATAGCAAACTTGCTACTTTCGATAAATATTACCTGAATTTCACATTATTGTTTTACTAACACAAAGACATTTGAAAACTATAATTTTTTTTTACATGAAGGCACTATATAATTTAAAAATCTAAAATAAATTGAAAAAATTTTCGACTCTTTCGACTCGAATTTTTTTCAATTTATTTTCGACTTTTAAACACAAAGACAGTTTTATGCAACACGAGCGAACTCTATTGTTTTTAACATACTAGCCAAATCGTCTGAAGAACTATATAGAAGATGATATGATAACAAAACAATGTATCTACAAAGATCGTTTTCCTTAACATGTACTCGATCGATAAGGCGGATACACAAAGATGTTGATAATGTAAAAGTTGATAATTTTTATAGGAAATTCAGGATTACTCTCAAAACCGTACGCTTATTTACGCGTTGCCACCCTTATGATCTAGCATAGCGAAAAATATAGTTATGGTCAGAGGTTGCTGAGCTTTGATCAACTACTTACTAAAATCCATTACTCAACCGTACTTGGAAAATTAAGCATTCTTTTGGCAATGTTCTTCCGGTCGGCAATAGTTTTTAGAAAATCCACATCTGTCGTCATAAGAGGTAACTTATCGAAGTTTTAAGACCCCGTTAAGAAAAATACTTCGTTCGTCAATTCATTTGGTTTTAAAATACTAAATTGTACTACTTAGTTTTAATTTCCGCGAATTATTTGAGCCTTTGTAATTAATAAAAACTAAAACGGAAAATTATTTTTGCCCATTTTATAAATGGCCCAGCCTAGAACATTATTGAACTTGTATTAAGGTGGAGTACTTGTCGTGTCGCAATTCGCAAACCATTGTTGATTACGTCTGATTTTTCTTCACATATGTAATATTTTTCCTCTAGCAGAAATAACTGTTTTGATACACGTGTAAAAAGCTTTGTAACTTTGTAACACTTTTTGCAATTGTTTTCCATTTAACGACTCTCTAATTATTTCCTTATTAGCCAGATTACATAATATTCAATGAACTTAGTTAATAATGATCTTAATTACAGTTATGGAGTACGTCTTAACCCTTTTTCGTAAAGGAACTGTATAAAGGGCTAAAACAAACCTTGATAAGACATCAACGAGCTTCTTTGGATTTATTTTTAAGTATTTCTTGTGCGTAATAAGTTCTTTTTTTATAATAATACATGAAACTATGCAAATTCAGGAATTGGTCGCACTGAAATGCTGAAGAGTTGCATATGAAGTTAATGTAAATGGTATGTATTCAGATATATTGATTTTATACTTATTATATACTAAAAAATATTAATTATATTTCAAATAGATTACCTTTTTTTAAATTTTAATATTATTATAATTTGAACTAAGGTAATGTTTTGCTTCAAAGCGCATTTGATTACAGAAGTATTAAATTCAAGTATTTATTTGCTGTAAACCATATGGGAAAAACATTACGAGCAGCGATCATTCACGCACATATTTTTAATTGGTGAACTCGTACGATTTTCAGTTTATGCAGCGGACTCTTAGCAGCGTGTACGCTGTACGCGATATTAAATTTCGCGAGGATATTTTATCACCAAACGTAGAGTATGCGATTTAGTTAAAAAAGATAACCGTTGCAGTGTAATAAATTTAATAACTTGACTTCCGATACCAACATGTATTAATAAGCATATATATATAAAAAATATAATATAAAAGACGAAACCAACAAAAGTTTAGAAAAAAATGTAGGTTCGTAGTTTGTACTAGCAATTTTCTAAATAGCTACAATATAAATACCACAACAACTCACTTAAGCACACATTATTTTATTTCTATAGACTCGGTCTTAAATGATGTTCAAAATGATCATGTGTCTTTTTAGAATCTGCAAAATGTATTTTAGACAAATTCAAAATGAATTTTAAATTTAAATCATATTTACGTTTCGGTTGATACCATTATTGCATGCACGTTTATCGCCGAAATAGATAAAAATTGGTTTATCACATTTTTATCAATGCGCTAATTAAGTCTCAACTATTATGCATATGCTCAAGGGTAAAGTCTGCGTCCGGGCATATTATGCTCTGGCGAGTATTTTGAGTGTGTGTGTAACGTATAGACCACGCTATATGACCTAGGTGCCTATTGTGAGCTAAGTGCACGTGTGGTGGTGCGTCGGCTACGTGTGTGTAGGCGCCACGGCCGCTGTCGACAGAATTTTTCGATTGCAGATAGTTGCTATGCCCAAAATATAGACGCGGATGAATTTCGCGCACTTCAAGTGCGTGTGGACTTTAGGTAAACGTTTGATATCTTTTATAGTCGTAAAATTTAAGTCCGAAATACAATTTATCAATGTCTTAAACAATTGTTCTACGCACAGTATGTTTCCGCCTTTAAAAGCACCGGTTAAATACATTAGAAATTTATTTAGATTGAAAAAAATTGATGACACACACGGGACTTGAACTGGCATCCCCAGCATTCTGAGCTGCTGCTCTAATCAACAGTATTAACACGGTAGTTCAAATTTTCTTGAGAGGTTTTTCATTTACACAATGCTATCATGTGCATGTGCTTAAAAAATTCAAACACATCCTGTTATTGTGTTTAATGATATTTTTTCTCCTATTACTCTTCAGAGTAAAGTGCATGAGATTAGGAAAAAAGAAAAGAAAGATAAAATAATTATTCAAACTCGGATTATAAAACTGTGTTGGTTTTGATATGTGATATAAAAAAATATGTTACAGTATATTACTTGATTTATCAATGGAATAAGGTTGTTAAAGCTTATACTTGTCAAGTTATTATACTTCAATGATGTTAACCAAAAAGCATACGTGTATGTACGTAACGAAACACACTTAAGTAAAAAGTATCTAAAACAAAATACTAAAATTTCTCATTCAGCATGACATAGATCGAAATAGAAAAGTAGTCCTCGTAGGTGAGAAAGAAACAAAGAATTGTTGGGTGTCACTATGTGTCTTGTCTTCAGCAAATTTAAGGAAATTTAATATGGACATAGCCAAAAATTGCTCTGTACATAAGTAGGTACTTGCACTATTTATTTTTATGTAGTCTGAATTAATAAAAACCGCAGAATCTCAATAGATTTTCATTTTATATAAACCGCAGGTCGCAGAGCGCAGCGTATAGACAATTTCGTGGGACAGGAAACATGTAAACCAAAACAAATCGAATTTATAATAATGTCACTGTTGACAGAGTTATGTAAAGTTATTAAACAAATCTGGCTAAGTGCACTAAGTTTACGGCGACCTGGATGAAGTTGGAAATGGGTCACCAGTACGCCCGGTACCTAAATAAAATCGATAATATTGTACCTATCTGTTTCCTAAAGCCTCAATGCCTCAATCTTTCGTTACATTAATCGTGATGGAACCGAAATTACATCTGTCTACAATGCGCTTACGCATATTAAAAGAGTAACGTGTTAAAGTATTTTAGATAAATAATAAAATTTTAAGACAAACGCTACAATGAAGCACAGCTAATAGCTAATACACAGTGCACAGCTAAAATAATGTATGTAAGTATGATTATAAAGAAGACATATAATTTATTTATTATTTGTTAATTATTCATGACCAAAAAATTGTTCAAAGTTTTGGGTCATATCCAAACAAGTCCAATTACTTTTTCGCGGTATTGAACTTAGGTCTTCTTGTATTAAACACAATACTACGTGAGAATTAATTTTAGCGATATACTTCTTTCTATTATCATGTTTGACAATTGTATAGATAAAATTGAAAAGTTTACAAAGCAAAACACTGAAATGTGTGATGTACATTATTAAAAATAAAATAGACTGAAAAATTTAATAAAGTATACACGAAATTTAATATTACAACTGTCTCTACGCTGAAAAGTGTTTTAATCCTTACAAACATATAAAGATATATGTTATCAGGGAATACTATTATTAGGCCGAAAATGTGAAATAATGCACTGAATACCTATAGTCATTGAATTTCTTATCAGATAGGCTTTGCTCTTGATAACCTTGATCTCAAGGTTATTTTAAGGATATTCAAGTCTTAGTTTTTACTAAGTTTAATTAGATGTTAAATTTAGGCTTTCCTTAATTCTAATAAAATGTATGAGCGTGTATATAAAATAAATTAAGCACTTTAATGGTTTAAAATGCCGTTTTACGTCAGGTCGTCGTTAACTAATATACATCACGTTTTAAACCGTTTAGGCGTTTATGATACTGCAATGTTATATTGCATAAGTTTTTTTTAAATATTGGCATGCATTTAGTTAAAAATAATTGCTACTTTATATACGATATTAGGACATTTTAAAAACTGAGAAAAAAAATAGAATTTTATTTAAAAAACGACAGTGTGGCATAAAAAATGCAGAGTCGCGTATTTAAATTAAAATAAATATTTATCGTTGAATTTGCATTTATTTTACAGTTATGCTATATTGTAAAGACAGAAATTATATTTATCTGTGGAATTGCATGAATTTTGATTATGATGTGAGGTAGGTCAGCTCCGCGAATAATAAAACTAACGTTATCATCCACCTATCTCAATTAGGTAACTTTGGATTGATGTCATTTTGATAAGTGTATCTTGAAAAACAAAAAAATCTACATAGGAGCTACGAAGTACTCTATTTTAAATTGATGTAAGTTACTACATCTCTTTGTATAAATTAAATGTATGATTCTCAAAGCAAGAAGTAGTCGTGGTTCTATTGGAAATCTAGAATAAAATATTTTTTAATTTAAATACATACTTTAAGTTCCAATGGTAGAGATGTAATACGTTCGTTCTAGATTGGGACCTGTGCTATTGATTTTTGTTAAAATATACTTTTAATTTTAAACACATAGATCTTAATTCAGTGCATTATGTAAGAAGCAAATACTTATTGATCGAATAATTTTTAGAATGCATTTGATTTGAAGGTTATTTAAAAAATGGTGTGTTTAATTTAAAAAGTAAAATGAGTAACTTAAAAAGTACATTTAAAAGGTAATTGATGTGTAAGTTATGACTGATATTTATGATGTAATTACTAATGTATTATAACTTATACATAATAATGCATTGCATGCTACATAGATAAACAATGCAAAGTTTTACACGTGATCACTCTTTAGAGAAAAGGTTCTAACGTAGATATAAACACACAAGAAAATTTATTTACGATTCATGAAGAAATTTTTCAATTGAATTTATAACGAATTTTATAAACAGTGAAATTTCCAAAGGTAAAACATATGCCTAACTTTTGTCTGTAGCTACCGGCTCGTAGCGCATTCGAACTTTTAGAAAATTAGATATGGTGATAGTAGTAGTATGTTTATTCGTGAAGACGGAATAACGGATATACATACATACATCGGTATCCAGATAAATAAATGCACATTCGAGCAGTGCCGGTACAAACCAGGGGTGCCCAATAAAAGGAGGCACGCTACGCGGTTTTCCGCATGAGTCACCGGTGCTTTCCCTCGTCTTACAGACCTACCTAGAATTGAGCGTGCGGAGTGCGCGTACGGCTGAAGGGGTTGCGCTGGGCGAGTTCTCGGCGGCGCACAACACTCACATTCAAATATTAGTCTAACCTTGCGAATCGCCGCACTCCGGGTTCCATCCGACGGTCGCCGATATAGACGGGACGGCTTCAGGTGTAACAGTTATTAACGCACTCGGTTCGCCGGGGTTAGGCGCGGGCGTCGGACGCTGGTAGGCGCATGGGCGCCCCCGTGTGGTCGCGAGGCTGCGGCGCGTCGGCCGCGCTACATGTCACGGTGAGCGAGCGCGCTCTTCGCGCCGTGGTCACCGACTCGGAGTGGCGTCGCCGTCCTACTGTCTGCCCGACGGCTCACGGCGGCGCGCGTTGCACCGCCCCGCTGCACTCCGCCTGCCCCCCTGCCGCTCGCCCCCTCGGCCCCCTCCTCCGCCCGCCCCGCCCTGAAGAATTTTCCGCATCGGGCGGGAAAAATCGATTGTGCAGCGAGCCCCGAATAATTTCGGCAAGACGCACGGCGCCCTTGCGTCCTCACCGTCGCGGTCGGAAGGCCGGTGCGGGCGCCGCGGTCAAGCGCACCTTGCGAGCGCTGCGCCTTCGACGCCACTTGCCAACGCACGACTTATTTCTTAACTCACGTATGCAAACACCTGCTTGTGAGTTACCGTTACGCAGCATTATAGAAGAAAAATAAAAACTTAAAAAATGTTAAAAGTTTTAATATACATTTGCCAAAAGCCTTTGACTACAATTGTGGTGTCAGGGTTTATATTATGTATAGGTGAACTATAAGTTCTCCGAACATCGCGTATTCTAGGGATTTAGTTTAATCTTAATCAGCACAAAAATGACCCAACTTTATATAATGAGAATGACGACGCGACCACTTATTTTGTAAACAACTAATTCAGAAAACATATTCTGGATTTCCCATTAAAGTTGATATATGTAAGTAATTAATAATTGTATAGGATATATTAGGACGTACAATAAATACAAGGTGTTTATACAAAATAAATTAAATACGCAACAGTTTAAATAATGCTTGACGGAAATAATGAAAACTGATCTCAGAAATAAACATTATAATTAATAAAAAATATGGCCTTATTACAAAAATGGCACATTTTTTATATAAAAAAATATTACTTACGAGTTAGTACGTCTTAATTGCAATGTACGTGCAATATATGCAAAATTATAGTATTGATTCCTACAAATAATAACTGCAAATTATGATTCTGAGAAATATTACATCAATGTCTAACATTTGTTAGGTGTTAAGTTTCCTATTAATAAGTAAATGTATAGTACATTATTTTGGCTGTCCTAAATGAACTTTTGTGATAGTTTGGCAGTTATTTTTTTGTTGTACTAAATCGCTATTATAAATTATATAATTTAAAGTACTATACTTTTAAAATTAATTTTATAGTTTCTATAAACCCACAGGAAGTTATCAGGAATATAAATATTTGGTAGCAGAATAAATGATTGAACTTTGTAAACAACCCCTTAGAGCCAGACACTGCAATGGCTAAGTACAAATGATAGACAAATGCGGTCGTGTACCTCTTGCTTTGGGGCTTTGTCCTCCAGAGTTCAAAAGTCTAAGACACGCATCGGGTTATTGGAGATTAATAAAATGTTTTAGTTAAATTTTAAAACTGTTGTCGAACATGAACACGTCCCTGTAATTAAAGATTCAGTCAGTTTCTATCAAACAATACAAAAAAATTTACGAGGTCAAGGGTCTAATGGTGGCAATATGTTGCTACTAATCAACAAGTCGCGAATTTGATCCCCACCGGGTCCAACTTTTTGGCTATTAAGTTGGTGTTAGGAACATTTAAATTCTGCCCGGGTCACGAACCACGGTCCACAGATGAAGCCGTTAAATTGCGTTTCAGTTTCAGGCTGTAAATTTCTTAATCTCCAAATTCAAAACAGGTTCATAGCGCATCTTGTAGAGTGAAACCTATGTTTGTCGGGTCTCCTCTGTCTTAAAGAATTAAGTAATAGTAAGCTTTTGCCGATAAACGTATCACAGCAATTATTTTTTTATGTTAAAATCAATATGACCCAAGAGATTCGAATTCTTTTTACGTTGAATGCATTTTCGATTAGACGCTGGCAGTCCAGAAGAGCTAACCCTATTTCCGAATGGAAATAACTATTAATACGCCCTTCGAGATATTGTAGGCAAGTTGGTTAATAGAGCAAGGGGTCTGAACTATAAAGGGTAGCTTCTATATAACCTTATAATAGCGCTATATTTACGCCACGTGCTTATGTAAAACCAATCAGAGAACCTGTAATTACTTATGTAACGTTAAAGATGATTATTAAATTATATTAATTCGAACTATACATGAAAGTGGCACGTGGCTTGGTTAGCAGCAGCTCGGAACGCTATGGATGCCCGTTCAAGTCCCGCTCGTGTATTAATTTTTCAATCTAAATACTGATTAGGTACTTCTATACTTTACGCGGGTAGTGCACATTGAAATAAAGCACTCTAATCGGTTTAAAATGCTAATTGCGGCCCGTTTCTGATTGCTTGCAGTAGCCGTGGTCATGGGGTCTTTCCAGAGTTGAAGTAATTTATAAATAAGTTTAATTAATACATTTCGCATTTCAAACCAGTTAAAGTGTTTTATTTCAATGTGTACTACTGTGGTAGTGCTGTTTTAGATAGCTGTAAAATATTTTTAAAGTGTTTTTATTTTCCTTAAGTGGACCATTTTACTCATCTTTCCCTTATAGAAGAAACATTATATTATTAATTTATGAAATTTTGAGTTCTGTCAGGTCATTTCAAAAACGATAAAAATCAATCGTATTTGTCGGATATGACCCGCTGTTTGTTAGATGCCTGTGGGTGGCATTTTGTGCCGAGTCGCCAACTCCACGTCAGCCTTTGCAATGTTTATTACTTGTGCAATATTATTCTGGCAATTTTTTTTCTAATTTCATACTTTGTTATAATGGAGGCTTTCGTTACAACCTCTTTATTTCCCACACCTTGGTATCTCTTCTCTTATCTATAGCTCTACTGTCTATCCATGTAGGTTTAGCTGGGACCCACCACTCAGTTTCAGTTATGTTGTCAGGTTAGCGAGTTTTAATGACCGTCATCAATAAATTAGAAATGATATCCAGAACAAAGGTAGGGGTACCCCAGAGGTTCGCGACTGTTAACATCTACTCCGAACTTACACTTTTTAATTACTTAACATTTACCGGACGAACATACGGACAGGACGAACCCTGGTCTTATTTTTCAATGGAGACAAAAAAATACGTCATACATAACATTTGTTTTGTAACATTTTAAAAATAATTACTTTTTACGTACTTTTAAATTCAAAGATGAAATCAATATTATCCATTAGTCGATCATTAACATTTAGTGATGAAAATGTTCTTTATAACAATGTACTGCGTACATTTTATGAACTAAACTTGCCTTCGAAGTTCACAACTTTGTGTGAAACTTTTCACGAACGCTTTGCATAGAGGCTTGAGATCAGCAACTAAGATAGGATTATCTTTGTAATCGTCGCTTTGAATGCATGTTAAGCATCAAGCCACCCCTGGTGATAACACCTGGTGCAGTAGAAGATCAATGTCTTTGATGATATATTAATTGCCTAGGTTTTTTAGAGAGTAGATGAAGATGAGGAATAATTTCTCGAAACACTATTGAACTTCGTTCGTTGCTTTGTAGATATCTAAGATAGTTAAAGATTGTTTTTTTATCACTAAACTAAATTACATCTTATATTCTTAATCATATTCTGATTAAGCATAATAAACTCAAAATAGATAGATATATCATTAAAAAAGTATAAAATTATACTCAATAAATTCTTAAAAAAATTTTATTTACTGCTCATAATAATTATGTTGTTATTTTCTATGTTAAATTAAAATAAAGACAGTTGAACATTATCAAAAACATTTACGTCGCGTATAACTAACTATTTTTATTAAATTAAAAAAAAGACAACTTATATTGTTTTCATCTTGGTCTTGCTTTTGACAAGTAAAACTAAAAATTTTGAAACACGTCCACAACTTTTTCACATGTATTAAAAGAAAACTACAAAATCAAACTCATTTAAAGCAATTGTTTATAACTTTATATGTATAAGTAAAATATTATTTGCCCTATTTTAATATTAGTTTATTGTGTAGAAAAAAGGGGCCTTCCCTTATTGGAAAAGCCCTTGAATCCGGAATGAAACATTATTTATTGCCAAACAGCACAAAAGGTTGATCAGGTGTCTGTAAATAATATTCTACTAATAAGACGAAACTTATTTGGTTGTATAAAAACTACTATACAACACTTTTTGTATATAGAGAATGCTAAAGCTCTATTCAGACGACGCTACTAACAACTACGCTAAGCATAAAATAACAGTAACGTAGTTTATAGCACTATACACACAATAAATTATTAAGATATATATACAAATTTCAAATGGATTGTACTGTAAGTATATACAATGATAAAGACATATTGAGAATTTTGCTGTTAAACAAAAATTTCTTGCAATTTTTAATTATTGCACACTCGGACTATGATATTTTTATTATTGTAAAATTTTTTCTAAGCTTTATGTTATTTACTTATTTATTTTTTCACGTTAAATATTTTTCTATATATATATATATATTCTTGCCAACTAAACTCTCGTTAGTTCTACGCTCTTAATTTGGGAACTAGTAGTAAATGTAAAATTTTAAGTTTTTAATTGTTTTGACCTTCATAAGTTTACCTAGCTACTTACATTTATAAATGAGTTTTGATTTGATAAGAAAAGTATAGCGTTGTCTGAAGAGGGCCTAATACGCGTGTGTGGCGGTGTGCGATAGGCCGAGTCGCGGAATTCAGACACAGACGTCAGTTCAAACGTTGCACCGCCGGTCGGCGACGATACGGAATCATTTTTTGTGCCCTGTCTACTTCTTAGCGTGTTAGGCACCGTTTTTTCTACAAGCCAGTCGCTTCGTGACCTCGGCTGACATTAAAAATGGTTATGCCTCATGCATTTATACTACTTCTAGATTAAAATAGGAGGTTAAGTGATCCTACTCGTTTGATTGTTATACGAAATTAAAATAGCATCAGTTTATGGGGCTCGTAAACTATTTTTTCTTATTTATACTACATTACTAAGCTTGGATTTCACATGATGAAAGGTTAAACACCCAACTCTATTACATCTAATTCGAATGGGCAGTCGTTCTTTATTTTTTTACTTGTAAACATTTTAAAAATAATTCTAAGCTTTAATCATATTATTTGAAAACTTTCATATGTTTTACATGTTATTGCACATGAAGGCACTATATCATTTTAATAATCGAAAATAAATTTTTAAAAAAAATTGACTCGGGCAGGACTTGAACCGGCATCGTCGGCGTTCCGTACTATAGCTCTTATATCATTTATATATCATAATAGGTATAATTTTTTCACTTTTGACCTAAATATGTAATTAAAATTTTCTCACTAATTTTGTTGTAAGTTGATAGACAAATATATAGTGTAGAAATAGCTTAAATATATAGCTATTGTAGGTCTAGACTTTTGATTGGCTATAAAACAGCATGCACTAGTCATTTCGAAGATTCTAATACAACGACCCGTTTCAGATTGTTTTAATTGGATTTTTATTTAAA